GGGGAGGAGCCAGTGCTTCCAGTCCCCCCAGCTGGAGCCAGGTCTCTGTCTGGCTGCTGCTCGGCTGTTCCTCGAGCGCCTGGTGCCTCCCTTTCCCAGGAAGATGTGGCCAGCCTGGAGAGCATGCTCCACTCCCTGAGAATCACCCAAGCAATGCATTATATTGCAGAGGAATGGAAAATATTCTCCGCCCAACTGCCAGAGGGTTTAGTGCGTGTTTTTCCACCCAGTTTTCATGCTGTGCCTGCTGGATGTACTCCATGAGAGGCTACGTGGGAGAGGCGGGTGCTCTGTCCCCTGTCCTGGCAGCAGTGTCGCCAGGGCTGGGGGTGGCATGTCCCGGGATGCTGCTGACACCATGTGGGCTGGTTGGGCCAAAGCACAGTTGCTTGCCAAGGGCTTGTTCAGGAGCTAGCAAGCAATGATTCTTGGGAATCAACGCCTCCCATCATTTCTTCTCTAGCTTTGTCAGAAAATCAGCCCCCCCACCTCGGTTTTGTTTTCTGCAAGAGCAGGAGAATAGTGCAGGTGTTGGCGATCTTCCTGTTTTGGGCCAGTTTTATCCCCAAACCACAATGCTCCCAGACCCGAAAAGCCTACGCTTTGGGTTGTTTCAATTTTCTGAGTATAAAATGTACATTTTCCCCAGAGAAAAGGAAACAAAAAAAGAAACCTGAAAGTGAGTTTTGCTTTGTTCAGCTTCAAGCCTCCATGGTGGGGCTCTCATTCCCAGGAGCATGCAGGGAGGGCCTTCCCAATATCCCGAATGCAAGACATCCCAGCATCCTGCAGCACCCCCATGAGGAAATCAGCCTTGCGAGAGCTGGGGGCCAGAAAAAGGAGCCTGAAAGCGGTATCTCCTCTCCTACAGCTCCCATGCCGCATCTGCAACCTCCCCTCTCACTCGACCCTCTCATCTTTCCTAAGAAGCTGAGCCAAGCTTTCCCACAGACCCAGACAGCTATTAGAGAAATATTATTACCAGATGGCTTGTTTTTTCCATAGGACCAGAGGCCAGCATGAGGTAACAGGGAAAATATTAACCCATCCCACACCAGCCTGGTCATGGGTTTGTGGCTTTGCTGGTGGAGCTGTGCCGTGTCTCAGCTGTGCCGGCACACAAGGGGTCTGCAGAGTCGGGTGGTGACGGGGGGGAAACTAGCACCCAATGTGTGCTGGACCAGTGGGGTAGTTGGAAAGCCCACCTTGGACCATCGACGGCCCTGTGGGGGTGGCTTGTGGAGGTTTTGATGGGGAAGGGAAGGGCATGTCCCCAGACAGTGCTGGAAGGGAGGGAAGGGTCCCCCCAGGACAGCTCAAACTTGTAGGTGCAGAGACCAGCTGGCAAACTGCACAGCGGGGATGTTTGCGCCAGGTCAGATGAGCCATCGATTCAAGCAGAGGAGAAGCTCCACATCCTGGCTGTCCTGCCTCTTGCAGGGTTGGCAAAGAAAATGTGTCCCTTTGAGTAGGGCTGTCAAGGGATTTGGAAGATACTGCATGGCATGGGTTGGCTTTTCCACTGGGTCTTTTTGCAGGTGGGTGGATGAGTGTGAGACCTTCCTCTGGTGCTGCTGAGCCCACTCTATGCCCATGGTAGGATGCTTGCAAAGCACCACCCACCTGTGCTGGGAGAGAAGCTGCAGCTGTGCTGGGAGATGTGATGCTTTTCCTGCTTGGAGGGGTTTCTCCACTGCCTCCTCCCACAGAGATCCACTGTGGGAAGATAAATTATCATGTGCAGAAACACCACAAGCCGCACTCTTTCCAGCAGGGTTTGTGGTTGGCACAGCACTCAGTCTGGACCACTGCTGCTCCTGTTGTTCAGGTCTGACCATGGAGATGGGCCAGCCAGTGGGGATGCGGCTGAGCCATGGGCAAGCTGGGTTGTGCTCCCTAGGGGTCCAACAGCCAGCCCAGGGAGGTGCAGTCTGTGGCAACCAGAGCACATGGAAACCTCTCAGAGCAAACTCCTTCAACATCCCAAATGCTTGGCAAATCTTGGGCACTCATATCCCCAGGAGTGGTGGAAAGTGACACAGCCAGCTGTCAGGATGCCAGTGTGCTTCATGGCGTTGCAACTGGGGAAATTTCAGTGCTCGTTAATTGTGGCATCTCCCGGGACCATGTGAGAGGACAAAGTAGCCCCAGCTGCAGAAGATGGAGCTGGAAACCTGGTACTCAGTCCTTCCTTGCTTTCCAAAGCACCCTTTGGTTATGAGTGTGCTGGTAGGTTCAATCCTGTTTTTTACCAGGGGAATTCATTTCAGCTCATTTCCATATTTCCTGTGGATAGAATGTTTTCCATTTCTAAGTGGACTTGATTAAAAGGAAGGAAAGGTTGTGTGAAAGAGTTAATAGCAGGACAATGGAGAAAACTCATTCTTCTCTCAATCTCTGGGAAGAGAAAAAGCAAAAATTCTGTCACAAGTGCACTTTTTTTTTCTGCACCCTGATTTGGTCTGAAGTTGAACTAAAAGTTATTGCTTGCAGTACTGTGGGCTGGGACTTGGGATGGGAGCACGTGTCCCCCAGGGCATGCAGCCACTGTGGAGGGGATTCCCTTGCCCATCTGGAGGAATGCTGGTAGATGAAGGGTGTCTGCTGCTCCTGAGGGACCTGCTGTGCCAGAGCCATAGGGGTCAACTTCCCTGGCCTCATCTGAAGAAGGGAAAGGGGACGTCCTTCACAGGCACATGTCCTTAGATTTTTGGATGTGATGGCATGCTGCTAGGCCCAATGATTGCAACATCCCTGGGGTCAGGCTGCAAACTGCTGCCCAGCTATCAGCTGGATTTCTACAAAACTAGCCCACACTTTTCCAAGGAAACGTCCGTTCAATGCCCTGGGGACACTGCTGGCTGCTAGCCCTGGTTTAGCACCGTTTTAATATGCTTTTGAAGCTGGACACAGATCCAAGCCTGTGGCCCAATTGGACAGCAGAGAGGATGAACCTGGGATGTTGGGCCTGATAACAGCCCCTGGGGCTGGCGGCTGGGAACGGGGGTCCCCGGCGGCAGGGGGGAACCCTGACTTGCTGGTTCCCCATACTGGAGTGCACGAGGTCGGACAAACTGCAGCTGTGTGGAGCCATATACGGTCAGCAGGCGCCTTGCACAAGCCATACCATTATCATTAAGTCTTTGCTGGCGCAGCCAACCAGCCTCCAGCTTGCAAGGCTCTGTAGAGCAGCCGGGCTGTTCCTGAGATGGATGTGCGTTTCCCTTCCTCTAAGGAGGGGGAGGGAATCGGCTCTTCTGCTGCTCAGGGTAATTGCCTGGGAGGGAAGAGGAGAGAGGAAGAGATAAAACAAAGAAGAAATGTCTCTGGTGTGCAGATTCACAAGATGCCTCAGCTGAGCTGAGGTATGAAGACAGGTCCCTTCCCAGCACCCCCTTTCCTGGGGGCCTCTGGCTGGTTTTCAAAATCCCAGGTGAGCTCCCTCATGGGGGCACCAAGGAGGCATGTTGGAGAGCCAAAACAGGTTTGATCCCCTGTGAACTGTCACACAGCAGGATTTGTCCCTCAACACCCTTGCTCTCTTGGAAAGCATCTTTAGTAGGTTTGAAATGCCTTGAAAATTTGCCTTTTGGTGTCCTTATCTCCTGGTGCTACATGCACAGCTCTGCAAAGTCCACTTACCTCTATGCCTGGACAGTTATTTACATCCACCAGGTTCACACTGGTTCTAAAGCTTTTAAGCTGTGGGAAAAATGCTTTCTTCAGTCCAACAAACACCTGGCTCTTTTGTGGCTGGGGTGTCTCTTCCCACCCCCAAAACACAGAGAGTTTTGTTTCACTTTCTGGTGTCACCTCCCAACACTTCTTGTCTCCTCCCTGTTGGTCTGGCTGCCCCTCAGCCAAAGCACATGGTACCCTGAGGCTCTCCAAATGTCCGGAGGAGCCGCAGGGACAGGGTGCAGGTGAGCCCAGCAGCAGTCCTGCCTCTCCTTGAGATCACCAGCTTATCCCCTTTCCTTTGTTTTAACATCATCTTCCACAGATGCACCTAAATTTGTGTTGGCATGAAAAACAGCACCTGTTGTGCTGTTGGGTTTATGAGGTTTCAGTTCAGCACAGTCTGCAGGTTTTTTTTTTTCCACTGACCTTGGATTTTGTTTATCCAAAGAGTCATTATTTGATGTATCTGCCTTCATAGTGTGGACAGGCCCCTCCACTGATGTAATTTGTAATCAGTGGAGCCATAGCTTTTTTTTTTATATTTGTCTCAACTTGAGACAACTTCCTACAGCCAAGCTTATGATATTTTCTCGTGATCATTCACACAAAGATTCTGTCAGAGAAGCTGTGTGTGAAAGGCAGGGTGATGGAGGTGGCAGCCAGTCCTGCACAGCCCCACAAAGGACAGGTCTCCTGCCTTTGTACAGCCAACTTGAGTGCAAACCACTTGCACAGGCTGGGTTTGTGCTGTCAACTGTTTGTGCTTTGGAGCCATCCTGGACAATCCATCAATTTGCTATTTAATGACAGGTCTTGGTCCCCTTTGGGAGCAGGTTACAGCTGCAGCTGTAGTAGGATCAACCCCCAGGCATTTTGCCTCTCTCTCTCCAATAGCAACTAATGCTCCCAGTGTGATGAGGGGTTTGGCAGCACCTGTTTCTGGGTCTGAGTTCAGCAGCACGGGATTCATCTCCAGTGCTGGCCATGGAGAGCAAATGGTCTACAATACTCTGGGGGCCTTGATGTGGGGGTCCAGCTCCCCACTGCTACAGGTCCTGAGGCTCTCCTGCCATCCTGCAGGATGTGAAGATGCTCATCTCCAGGCATCCCTAAGGACTTGCACTCCTGCTTCTACCTTCTGGGCTCGACAGCTTTGACCCCATTCCTGCTCCCTGCCCTGAGCATGGCCCAGAGGAGTTGTTCCCAGTCTGTAGGTGTCCCTGTGGGATTTTTCTCAGCTTGCTCCTCAGGTTCCTGACTGGGTTGAGTAGAAAGCCCTGAAAGTCAGGGAGAAAGGTGCTTCTCCAAAAATGTGGTGCATTCATGGTGCACCATCCCTGGGTGGCTATGGAACAGCTCCAGCTCTGACCTGTGGTGAGGACTCCCCTGTTTAGCAGGACAGCACAGGCCAGCTCACACAGGTGGGGATGCAATGGGAATGCATGTCCCCCTGCCCCAGCTTTCTTGCCCCAGGAACCAGGAGGGAGCAGTCTGGCAGGTGCCCCGATCACCCCTGCCCCACAGAGAAGGCTGAACCCCAAGTGGGGGGCACTGACTGGGCCAGGGCTCCCTGCGTGAGGCTTGAAGAGATCCCAGGAACCGGTGGCCAGGGTGCCATGGCAGGTACAGCCACATCCAGAAAATGGGTAAGGAGAAATGCCTCATTTGTTTCTGACTCACAGCTGACAGCTCCTGATCCCTCCCTCCGTCCTCAGGCTGGAGAAGTCTCCTCCTCACCCTTACCCTCCTGCCTGCTCTTCCTCCCACAGAAACCAAGGGGAGAGTGGTAAAAAGATATCTTCAGTGACTCCTGCCTCCGGACTGCAGCCTCTCTGTGCTGCTGGGTTCTCCTTCCCTGCTTTTTTTCTTCGATCCAGCTTGATGTTAGTCTGAACCAAGAAAAATGAGGCTGCGGGACTTTCTATTCTCTTTGCTGCTCTTGACCGTCTTCCTGGGGGGGGGCTCATGGGCTCAGCGCCCAGAAATCACCACCCGGGTCGCAAACGCAGAAGGTAAGCCTGGGCTGCTTCCAGAGTGTTTTTCCTCCCCAGGATCGGCAGAGAAGTCCGGCTGCTGTTTCCCTCCTGGGCGGACGCCTCCACTACCGCACACAGCCACGGTTTTGTCAGGACATTTCGGGGAAGAGTTGTGTTTGAGGAGGGCGATGTAGGATTAGAGACGATCTGCAAGACATACCTTCTTTTAATGCTTTTTGGGTCTTTCTCCTTGGCTGTCTTGTTAGGTGTTACCAGCAGCGCTGGGATGCAAGAGATGGGGATAACAGCTGGTACTAATTTATCTTTCTGAAATATTTTGAGTTTGGCACTGCCCGTTAAAGGGCATTTTCATTTTTGCTCTCCTCTGCAATGATATTTGTGCCAAGATGTGTCAGAAAATTATTAGTTTCTCATTATATAAATTGCTATCATGTCTTGGTTTTATTTTTTTAAGTGATTGCTGCAGCTGCATGTTATTTTATATAATAACAAGTATTGGTCTTGCAAAGATATTCTGTGAATGTAAATGGAAAAAAATGTATAGGAAACTGTTAAATGCCACAAAGTTATGTTTTCTGAATATGTGCTTGATCTGGCTTACCCCTGATGCCAAAACAGAAATAAGCAACCTCACCAGTGTGTGTGTCCTTCTGTGTCTTGCATGGGGTTAGGATGTGAACGTGGTCTCCTCAGCAAAGATTCGGGGAGCCTGGTGGGAGGGAGGGGAGCTGAGCTGCAAGGAGGTGGGAGTGGGGAGCCCCAGCTGGGGAGGTGATGCCGTGGGGCTGCCTGCTGACTCCTGCCTCTCCACTTCTTCCCAGACTGCCCTGTGGACCTGTTCTTTGTCCTGGACACCTCGGAGAGTGTCGCTCTGAGGGTGAAGCCCTTTGGGGACCTGGTTGCCCAAGTGAAAGATTTCACCAACCGGTTCATTGATAAGCTGACAAACAGGTACATGTCCCCAGGGTTTTGTCCAGGCTGCTTTAGGGATGGAGCCTGGTGCTGGGTGGGATGCTGAGACCACTCGGTGTGCCATCCAAGGAGGGAGAGTAAGAAAGCAGGGATGCTGGAGAGGGGGGTGGGAGTGTCTCCTCCTTGTCCCGGTCTGCAGCCATCCTGTTTCTGCTCCGTCCGTGCCGATGGTGGCAATGTGCATTCAGCAGAGCTGCCTGCACCCACCCTTGGGAAAGCAAGGCCTGGGGCTGCAGACATGGCACCCCATCCTCACCACCTCCAGCTGGCCTGGCTCGCCAGATGGTTATTCTGTAGGGCCAAAATGATGCTGATTCCCATGCCACTGGCTGCTCAGGCCCGGGACAACCCAGATGCTTGAGTGGCAGCAAGGCACCTGTGATGTTAAACCCAGTGCTCACGGGCACCCTGCAGAGCAAACCCTCCCTTTCAACTGGCATCCCCCAGGATGATCTGCAGCACTGAATCCAGCTTTGGAGGCCCCTGTGGAGTGACATTCATCCACCCCACTGCCCAGCCCTTTATCTGCCTCCTCCTCACCCACCCATGTTGTCACCAACCCAGGTTGACCCTGTCTTTCCCAGGGTGAGGGCACCCAGAGGCACCAAAGCTCCCAGATCCTGGAGGGGGGTGATGCTGGGAAGAGGTGAAGGCAAAGGCCATGGCTCACCTGCTGTCAGGAGTTCCAGGGATGCACAGGACCACCACAAGTCCTGGGGCCATGTGAGTCCTGGTCCTTGGGTCAGCAGGAGATATGTGCTGTTGCTCAGAGGGGCACTGTGGGGGTGTCCCAGTGCTGCACGAGCTGAAGGGGCAAGGTTGTTCCTGTCTTGACAGATGTGGGGCAGTCAGCAGCTCACCTCCCCATTGCCCAGGTAGGAGAGTTACCACTGAGTGACCAGGAGCCTCGTGCTTTGGAATAACCTGCCAGGCCTGCATCAGTGTAACATAACTCTCTCCTAAGCAAGGTGCTGGGTTTTGTTCAGAGCCCCCACTGCATGCAGACAGATGGGTGGACCTCCTGAACCCATCCCAAACACCCCTGTGCCCACCCTGCTGCTCTCTACCTGCTTCGGAGATATCTCCCTGCAAGCCACCACTGTGTACGCTATGATTCCAGGAACCCATGGCATGCATGGCATCACTGGCACAGATGATGGTGAGGCAGCTGGCAGCAGTGGGGTGGAGGGGAGAGAAGTAGGCAATGCTCAGGTGGCTTTGGGAAAGGTCCTACTGGGCAGAGCTAAAATGAGCTTGGGAAAGTGAGGGAGCTGTGCAACCCCACCGCTTTGGGATTGGCCCCAGCATCCTGAAAATACTCTTTTGGGGGCACTGGCCAAAGCATGGAGAGTTGTGATGCCCCTGTCCCAGGGGGTCACAGGTGCAGGCTCTGTCAGCACACAGAACTTCAGCACATGCTCATAATCCTCTGAGCCAGAGCACCCTTCAGAGGGAGGCATTCCTCTTTGATTTTAACACATCTTGCAGAGGAAAACTCACCCCAGTCCCGTGTGGGGTGTTTTGGTGGTTACCTGTCTTGCACACATACACCTGGCTGTCTGGCTCAGCACCTCCTGCTCAGCTCCAGCCACTGCAGCCCAGTACCTCTTTGGGAAGCCTCGCTGCCAAACAGTCTGACCCCTGTGGACACCCACCAGCTGCACCCCTTTGTCCTTCCACCTGCTGAACAAACTGCCCTGCTCCAATGACTGGGCTTTGCATGTGAAGCACACCCCAGCCTTGCAGGAGAGCAAGGAGCCCTAGAAAAGTCCTGAAGTGTTTGGCAGAGGATTTGCATTTTGCATGGCAGGCCAGTGCAAGTGAAGTGGAGGTGGCAGCAGGGCATGGACAAAGGTGCTGAAAGCACGTGGTCCTGGTCTATCCACACAGGTACTACCGCTGTGACCGCAATCTGGTGTGGAACGCTGGGGCACTGCACTACAGCGATGAGGTTGTGCTCATTAAGAGCCTCACCCCTATGCCCAGCGGCCGGAATGAGCTGAAGAACCGTGTCTCGGCCGTGAACTACATTGGGAAGGGCACATACACTGACTGTGCCATAAAGCGGGGCATTGAGGAGCTGCTCATCAGGTAAGGCAGTGGGGCTGGGACGGGCAGAGGGAGTGATGCTGGTGGTATGGCAGTGGTGGATGGAGGTTGGGAGCTTCTGGGTTAGGACATCCCTGTGCATTGTGCAGAGCTGTCCCCAGGGTGGGACAAGAGGTCACCTAGGCATGAAATAGGCACGGGGGTGGCAGGTTGCTAGGGATCCAGCTTTGCTGGTATGAGGCATGCTCTCATGATAGGCTGGGGCACTGCCTGGGGTGAGTGCCCGGAGATGCCCAAGCCACTCCTCTTCAGCTAATCTGTTAAATTCTTGCAGTGTTAAATCCTGTGTTTAAACTGTTGCAGTGGCTCCCACCACAAGGAGAATAAATACCTGATCGTGGTGACTGATGGACACCCCTTGGAAGGGTACAAGGAACCCTGTGGAGGCCTGGATGATGCTGCCAATGAAGCCAAACATTTGGGGATCAAAGTGTTCTCTGTCGCCATTTCTCCCAACCACCTGGTAGGGACCATGCAGCTGGGATGCTCCCTGCAGGGGTCCCAAGTGGTCCCACAAGACCCCCAGCACAGCGAAGGAGTCTCGGAGTGCCCTTCAGAGGCCCTCTATGGAGGGAGGGTGAAGGGTAGTCTCTGGTAGTCTATGGGTGCCTGCAGATCTCACTCAGCCTTCCCCACCCTCCCAATCCTAGGACCAGCGTCTCAATATCATCGCCACAGACCATGCCTACCGCCGCAACTTCACTGCCACCAGCCTGAAGCCAACCAGGGAGCTCGATGTGGAGGAAACCATCAACACCATCATCGACATGATTGTGAGCATTGTCTGTCCCTTCCCCAGCCCGGCCCCTTCCCAGGCTCACCCATCCCTCTCAAATCCCCTCTCTTTGCTCTCTTGTCTTGCAGAAAGCTAACACGGAGCAATCGGTGAGTGTCCTTGCTCCCCCTCAGTCCTGAGCCTGAACCCATTCCCTGCGGGTCACCCACAGCTAAACAAGGGCTTGGTGGCACAGCCCTGCCCTGCAGGCAGCTCCTTCTTGGCCCCTGCCAGCCTGGGGAGCTCCCCCCAGCTAGGTGCAGCCTGGCCCTGGTGCTGCCTGCTGCCTCTAATGCTGTTTTCTCCTTCTCTCTGGGCAGTGCTGCTCCTTTGAGTGCCAGGTGAGTCAGGCTTTTATGATCCTTGTCCCCTTCCCTCATATCCCCATAGACCCAGGCTGTGCCTTGGTGACTAATCTAACCCATACGTCTCTCCTGCAGCCTCCCCGAGGGCCCCCTGGACTTCCTGGCGACCCAGGCAATGAGGTGAGGGACCAGCTGCAGCCATCTTGCAGGACCAGGGTGGTGGGACGGGCTTACTGAGGATGCTCAGGGACCAGTGGGGCACATACCCTGCCACTACCCCATGGAGAGGTGGATGAGGACGCACACCATGCTTTCATGAAGCCAACATCTGCTCCCCACATCCATGGATCATTGCTGCTATCATCCTCCCTGATCTCCTTTCAACAGGTCATCATTCTGTTCCTGAGGACGATGAGATAACTTTATTTCTGTCCTGTATTGCAGGGAGAAAGAGGCAAGCCAGGTCTTCCTGGCCAGAAAGGTGATGCTGGAGACCCAGTAAGTAACAGACCAGCCCTGTTGACTCTGTGCAACAGCTAATTTTTGGCCACTTCTGGCCAGACCTCTCAAGTGCATCCTCACCAGTCCTTGCCCCTGCATCACCCTGTGGTGATTTCCATGGGGTAGTCAGTGGGGGGTCATGGCCAGCTGTCCCCCTCTGCAGCCACCCTGCTGAGCGATGGCTCCTGGCGGGCAGTGGAGTGGTCCCCTCCTCTGTTGCTACAAGGCTTCCTTGTTCTTCACCCAAAATAGCCATTCTTCTTGGAGGACACATCTCTGACTCATGTATGCCAGTCCAGGGGTGGACTCTGGTCTCCTTCCTGAGTCCTCTGACATGACAAGCACAGCAGTGTTCCAGGGAAACCTTTGCTAAATAATAAACTAATAGCATGAGGAAACTATTTCCCTCCTCCTCCCCTTTTACTAGGTGTGCTTATTTTGGGGAGGTGCATTTCCCACACACATGTGAGTGTGCAGTTACGCAGCTTGTGCATTCCCAGTTTGGGAAACCCATGTCATGCACATGCAGATTTTTCCTTTCTAAGGGTTTTCTACCCTTCCCTTTCATCCCAGTTGACATGTTCCCAAGCGCCCAGTTTCTCTCACCCCCAGGAAGGGCTGGAGATGGTGGAGGTGAAGGCAGGTCCCCTCTGCCCTCCACAATGATCCCGTGCTTCCAGACTAGGAAAATGAGGAGCATTGTTAAGGGAGAGCTTCCTCTGGGATGGTATGGCAGCTGGAGCCTGTGGGAAAACTGCCCCCTGGCAATGGTAATGATAATATCTGCCTCGGTAACACCATTTTCTGTCCTCTAGGGCAGGCCAGGGGACATGGGACCTGTTGGCTACCAAGGAATGAAGGTACATGGGGCTGCGGGGTCATGGGCACTCTTCCTAGATGGGCCACAGTCTCTGTGCTGGAAGTGTTTTCATTTTCCCATTTTTCTCTCCCCTTTCATCTCTAGGGTGACAAAGGAAGCCGAGGAGAAAAGGTGAGGATAGTATGGACTTGATGGGAGGGGGAAGGTTTCTCTGTGTCCTCCTGCTTGGTTAGACTGGGCTGCCCCTGCAGCTGCACAGTGTTGGGGTCTGGTACATGTCCATGCCCACACATCTGTCCCTCCTGCCAGCACCACTTCTGCCAGGAGCAAGGATCCAACGGGAGCAGAACATTTGCAGCTGATGTGGCCTTGGGGATCAGGCAAGCACCATGAAGTGGGCACAGCTGGGCAGAATGGGAGGGACCAGCTGTGTGCAGGGGCATAGTGATTGCCTGTACCCTCAGACTGAGCTAGCATGGGGACAACAGCATGGTGGTGGGATGGATCTGCTCTGCATGGGGGCCTAATTTCTCTCTCCTTCCCTTCACAGGGCTCGAGAGGAGCCAAAGGAGCCAAGGTCAGTTTCCAGTTTTTCACCATTTATTCTTTCTAGTTGATGCTGGGGGGTCTTTGGAAATTACTTCTTCATGGTCTCTATTCTTCATTTCAGGGTGAGAAGGGCAGGCGTGGAATTGATGGCATTGATGGCATGAAGGTAAACCTTGGCTCTGGGGCATTTTGCTTAGACTGAGGACCCTGACTTTTTCTCAGACACCCCTTCAAAACCATTGTGGGGTCCCAGACCAAAGCTGGTGTTCCATGTGGGGCAGTGGGGATCCCTCCCTGCAGAGGCCTCCACCTGCCAGATGAGGACAGGGCTGGAATATCCCTCTGGGATGATGGATGGGGTCTTCCATGGGCACTGTTCATGGAGACCCCTGCTCTGTCTGACAGGGTGAAGCTGGATACCCTGGCTTACCTGGCTGCAAAGGCTCACCTGGATTCGATGTACGTACCCTGCGGGTGTTCCTTGCATGCAAATGAACCAGTGCAGCAGGTCTGCTGTGATGGTGCATGGAAACTGGGAGCCCCCCAAGAAGGGGAGATGTGGGAGGGAGTTTCTGTGCTTGAGAATACACCTCTAGACATGTGAGGTTCATCCCAGGCGTGGCACCTCAGGGGTGTTCCCAGGTCTGCCTTGTCTTTGCCTGGAAGCTGTCCCCCATTGCATGGGGCTGCCTGGGAATCTGCATGCTGGGGGAGCATTTGGCTGGAGGTTGGGCACAGGGAACCTGGCAAAGAAGATCTCAGTGCCAGATAGGAAAGCCCAGGATTAACCAATTTCAGCTTGCTCTGACCAGCCACCCAGGAAACGCTGGAGATTTTGGAGAGCTCTGGAAAACATTAGTCATTTATCCAGTTTCCCTGATTGTTTCCATACTCCCAGGATGAACATTCATGGTGTCACCAGTATCACTGCAGTCCAGTCATAGCAGCCCAACAACCACGTTTTCTACCATTTTTCTCTAACCTGCAAAAGCACACTCAGTTTTGCAGTGTTTCAGCAACATGACTGCAGCGTTGCTTGCACGGTTCCATGGTGCAAGGTTACCTTGCCATCCCTGCATTGCTCCTGAGTACATGTCCCTCCTGTTCGTTCCGCTAGGGAACTGTGGGCCAGGCTGCTGGGATTCTCGGTTCATGCCCAGTTTCCTGCAGACAGTGATACCAGCTTGGTTATTAGTGATGTTGTCATTATTTTCAACAGGGAGCTCAAGGCCCGCCTGGACCAAAGGGAGATCCTGGTGCTTATGGACCCAAGGGAGGAAAGGTCAGCCACTCTGCCCAGCCTCACACAGAAGGAGGGTTGCTGGAGCCCCTCTCCTGCAAGAGGGAGAGGTGGCAATTGACCCTTCGCTGGCCTCCTTTGCACTGCATGGGGGAAAGCCTGTGCTACAGGCCCCTCACCCACAGTAAGATCCTGCTGGTGTGACTCCAAGTGTGCCCAAAATTAGTGGGTACCCACAAGCCTGGCACAAGCATCCCTGAGATACTGGGGGGCTACTGTAAAAAGGTGGCTCACACTGGGCGGGTGGAATAGTGGGTGAGGGTCTGCTGGGAATGGGGAGTTCCCTGGGGAGAGATCAGAGCCCAGAAAGAGGTTCGGGGTGCACCAGGGCTCCTGACAGCCTCTGCACCATGGGAGCCAAAAACCATTACTGTAGTCTTGACAGTGCCTTGTGTCCTTGTGAAGGGGGAGCCTGGGGACGATGGAAAACCTGGCCGACAGGGGATTCCCGGCAGCCCTGGAGAGAAGGTGGGTGAAGTGTCTGTGCACAACCATTCTCTGCCCTCTGTGAGAGGGAGAGGTCCCCAGTGTCAGCCTTGGTTTCAAAGCAGAGCTTGCCCAAGGCTCTGCAAGTGTGCGGGGCTTTGCTTCAAAACCTTCTGACTTGTCTCGTTTGCACCCCTGTGGCTTGCTCATCCAGGGCATGCCTGGAAACCAGGGTGAGCCTGGACCTGCAGGAGAGACAGGCGATGAGGTGAGTCCTCTGCCCATGCCCGCCATGTTCCCCATGCATTCTTACTGGCCATACACACTGCCTGACCACCCCTCTTATTTCTCCACAGGGTGCTCCTGGCATGGATGGTCCTCCTGGAGAACGGGTAAGTGAGGGGCTCCACTGCCAGGCACCAGACTGGCAGGGTGCAGGCTGGTACACTGCTGTGGAGGAGGGCTGGGGGAGAGCCTGCTGAGAGGTGGGAAATGAGGGAGGGCTTTGCTGCTGCTGGGAGCAGGTCTTGATTTTGTGTTCCTGCCATCTCCTTGCAGGGCAGCAATGGAGAAAGAGGACCCCCAGGCTCGCCGGGTGACCGCGGGCCAAGAGGAGAGCCGGTAACTGTATCTGCAGGGTGGCTTTTGACATTGGCTTACAAATATGGTGCGTTTGACAGCCAGGGACTAAAAACAGGTGCCCAGTGGCTAACCCCACTGGCCTGTGGACCAGCAGGCAAGCTCAATACCTTTAACTGCCAGCCCAAGGGGGGACTTGCTCTTGTCCCCCAGCAATTGCCCCTTTACACTGGCAGCTAATCACCAAACAACCAAAACCCAGAGGAGAGCATGCCCAGGAAGCCAAAAGTAGGCAGAGGGGGGATGGGTCAGCCCCTGCCTCACAGCCGATGAGAAGTCAAGGTGTCCTCCTCTTGAGATGCTGGGGGGCTGCATGGGGTACTGGTGACTTGGGAAGGAGGGCACAGGTACCATTAGCAGTACAGCAGCATGTGTGGGTGTAGATGGGAGGGGGAACACCCTTCTCTCCACTTTAGGGTGGGAGTCACTAGGAAAGTATTTTTCTTGCCTTCCGAGGGTGAGTCACAGAGCATGAGCGTGGGAGGGACAGGCAGTAGCCCTCAGCAGGCCAGGACAAACATGTGGTGAGTGACAGAGGTGCCACGCACACTGAGGGACTAGGGGTGCTGCTGCTCAGGGTGGAGGCAGCGGGAGTCAAGGCGTCCAGCAGCAGCATCCTGGCAGGTGGCCATCCATGTCCTGGCACTGCCAGGCAGCCACCACACTTCTTTTCCCCTGTCCCTGCAGCGAGGAAAGCCAATACCCACCACCAGCTCGGGGAGTGGGGGCAGATGTCCACCCTGGGGAGGGGGCAGCTCTGGCAGGGGGCTGCTGGCAGCCTCCCCCTTCCTGTTTACTGCTCAGGGAGCGGCAGCACGGCTGCACGTGATGTGTGGGGCAGATGTGCGCAGGAGATGAAGGCACGCCAGTGTCCCGGAGTTAAATTGTTCAGCAGGCAATGGGCTGCTTCCTTCCAAGTTTCAGTCCAAGCACAAGGCTGTGTAACCTCTCCAGAAACGTCTCCACTGGCGCTGAGGGTCCTTTGGAAGTTGTGTTTTATATTCACTGTTTGGCTTAAGCATCTGGAAGCTTCTAGCTTGCAAACAACAGCTTTAGGTCAGCAAGCTTTCAACCTCTTTCCTCAAAGTTTTAAGTCAGGTGTGACTGTCATGGGACATTCCTGAACACCTCCCTTCCTCGTGGACTGGTGGCTGCCTAGCCCCACGTCCCCAGGCTGCAGGCAGAGCAGCACCTTGTGCACAGAAACTTGTCTTGCAGCACTTGGTGCTGGCTGATCTCAGGGGTGGTTTTACTGTAAGGTGCAAAGCTCTGTGCTTGGCGGTTGTGCAGCCCTGTAAGGGGTAATGCTCTGTTTTGCAGGAGGGAAAGCTTGCAGCAAGACTTCAGGCTGCAGGGATGGGGGGCTGTGCCTCCTGGCTCTCCTTTTGACTTCCTGGCTTGCTCACTCCTAGCCATGGGTCTAGGTGGGAAAGTGCCCTGGAGCCAGCCCAGGTCTGACAGACATGCTGCCCTGTTGGGAAGCAGTTTTGCCGGACTGGTGGAAGGCTGTCCCTTTCTACATTGTTTAAGTGAAAGTGGAACTGAGCTGTGTCCAGCCCTTGGGCATTTCCTTCTATTGGAGTTGTCGGGGTGTCAAAAAAACGAGACTCAGTTCTTTCCAGGCTTTCTTGGGCTGTCAGTTCTTTGCAAAGGGCTCTAACCCAGCTCAGGGTGCTGAGTGTTAGTAAGGAGAGGGGAGAGCATCAGCAGTGAGAGGTCAGGATGTCCCTTCCCATGTGCTGGCTCATTCCCTTGGAAAACCCCCTTGGTTCCACAGGGATGGCAGGCCAGAGGAAGAAGGGGTGGAGGAAGGAGGCTGCTAACCTGGAGTCTCTGCCCATGCATGGGGATAGCAGCTCCTCTCCATGCAGACTGCCCAGGGCATGAGCTGCTCTAGAAAAGCAGCCATGATTTCAGAGCATGGCTGGGAAAAGCCACTGAATGGTTTTGGGGACAGGTCCAAGTCTGTGTATCTGTAGAAGACTTGCAAGATGGATCGCTTCAGGCATTTGATTTTCTGTCACAAAATGGGCTGAAACATGTCATCCAGAGGCAAGCACTCTCATCTTTCTGAAGGTCTTACTCTTAGGGCTATCTTCTTGACTGCAAGGTGGCCATGCTAGCCTCTCTCTCCCCATACCTCTGTTTCCCACCCAGCTCCTGAATCTGCCTCAAAACCTCCCTGTATGGATGACTACATTTCTATTCAGCATGTGCTATCTGTGCTGTATCACCACTTCCATCTGCACGTAGGGCCCTTTACACCCTACGCCTGTCCCTCTTTGAGTTTCTTATGGCCTCTATGTGTGTTTTCAGGGAGAGCCTGGACCACCTGGTGACCAAGGGCGGGAAGGACCCCTCGGACCACCTGGTGACCAGGTAGGAGCTTGGGTTAACCTTCTGAATCCCAGGTGGAAGTGGTTGGGGCAGAGGGGAGAGCGGGGTAGGGGCTTGACTGATGCCACAGCATCTTGGGGCAAGATCTCAGCATCTTTCAAACCAGGTAGAAAAGCTGGTGAAGAGGGGAAGGGATTTCTAGGAGAACCCAGAATAGGAGCAGGGCTGAAAAAAATGGAGACTTGGCTGCTGGGCTGGGGACAGAGCAACCTCCATGCCATTTCCAAATCCCATGGAAACAAATGTCAACACATCTCACAGATTTGGAAACTGGCAAGTACAAGCTGCAGTAATGCACAAAATGTTCGGGCCTGGGGCCAGACACTGCTCACCTCGGTCAGAGGAGTCAATGAGACATCTTGTGCCAGTGAGGATAGCCTGACGGGGCCCCAGTGCCGCCCCTGACACCACTGGCATCTTCAGAGACAGTCTGTCCCAAGGCCAGCGCTCCTCAAGTCTGCTTGCTGCAAGGTCTGGCTCTCCTGCTCTGGGGTCTGCTTGTCCTCATGTGCCTCAAGGAACAGATCTCAGACCCCACGGGCTTTCTGGAGAGCAGAGCTGGCTACCTCCAGCCTGAGGATGGCTTCTGCCCCTGCACAATTAAAGGCTCTTTCTTCCCAAAGATGTACCCAGGTCCCAGTTGATAACTGGTTCTGGAGTTATTGCTAGGTCAATCCTCCATGGTGATAGCACTGTTTGCAATGCCAACAGGGTCTCTGCAGCTGAGCGAGCATGCTTTGACATTGTCTTTGGACAGGGCTCTGTGAGACAACTCCCCTCCTACTCATACTGTCAGAGTTTTAACAGAGCCCAAGATACAGGAAAGTATTGAGATAAACATCCCCACATTGGTGGAGCAGGTCTTCCAGAAGGGGTGAAGCATGGAGACCAGCATGCAGACAAAGAGGACACAGCTTCTGAATTCCTGTTATGGTTGACCAGTTGTTGAAGAGCCCTGAAGGAGATCCAGAGGGCAGGACAGCCATGAAGGGGCCACATTATCCCCACACAGGTGATCCCCATGGCAGACCTGCGCCATGCCACAGCCCGGGGAGAGGACATGCTTGTGCCAGTGTTGTACTTGCCTGGAGTCGAGTTTCCCTCGAGCCTGTCTCATGCTAGTGAATTGCACCAAATTCACACAGGGGGATTGTCTAGATCTTACTGTCTGTAGCTGAGCTGAGCTCCTGCTGCAACCAAAGAGCATCTGGCATCATCCAGCCTGCTCAGCACTGCAGTGGTGAGAGGTGTCATTTTGGGAGGGGGCCCTGGTAGGAAGGCAGCTGTTTGGATGTGTGCATGTAATGGACTGGTGATGTAGCCTGACACCAGTGAGGGAGGAAGGACTGGAGCTGCTGTCTGTGTGGCAGAGGCTTATTCCAAGTTCAAGGCAGGAGAAGGATTGTGCAGAAGAAGACAGATTTAAGGTGAAGATTTGATTCAAGCCTGGAAGACGAAGCTGTACAAGCATGGTGGGGATCCAGGCTGCGGTAGATCCTGCCTTCAGCCAGCCTTCCCTAGTGGGGAGGAGGAGGAGGAAGAATGGTCTCCCTGCTGTCACTGAGTCACCAGTTTTCCCTCCCCAGCACTGAACTTGAGTCAAACCCCTGTCAGAGAGGGAAGCATTAAAGAAGCAGCTCCCATGCCTCCCCAGACCAGAGACTACCCCAGAGCCTCCACGGCTCCAGGAAGATTTCAAAAGCAGTTGCAAAGTGAGGACATTTTTTCCACAAGCTGATGAAGAATGCTTTTGTTTGGCCAAATTAAAAATAAATGCATAATTGGGCTTGGGCAAGACTAGGACTTTGGCAAACACAAGTGTTTTTCAAGCCGTGTTATCTGCAAGCTCTGGCTTTTGGAGTGTATTTCTCTTGGCAAGGGGAAAGGGCTCCCGCTAACCTGTGACTCCCTTTCATCCTCTTTCTATCCGAGAAAAGCTAAAGGTCAGCACACTCTTTCCTTGATCCTCATGGGCAGGTTTGCTGGTCCCTCTCTATTCCTGGCCATGGTGCCCATCCTTCCTGTGGTTCCTGTCACCCCCAGAAAGGTAGTGGACAGGGAGCTCCTAACGATTTCCCAACCCAAAATCCAGTATCTTCATAAATTCCTCCAGGGCCATGAGGGATTTGCACTGTGTGCTACAGTGAGAACATGTACGGCCATCGCAAGCCAAGAGTGCTGTGGATCCAGCTTTGGCTGATGTGAACAATCATGAGTTCTTGTCCCTTCTTCCCAGCTTTCTCTCTTCTGGGCTTCTGTGCAGAAGGTCACATGCCTTTGAGCAGTTTAGTGCTCTGCACTGCACTGTGTAATTTCAAGTCCGCTGCACCTTTCCTTGGAAGAAGGGTGTGTGCAGCATGCATGGATGTTTGGCACCAGATTCTTCCAGCAACTGTCATGTGAAGAGGAGCAGGGATGACAGCTGGAGGAGATTTCAGCTTCTTCAGCCTTTGGGGAGGCTGCAAAGCTGGGCTAGGATGAGCCACTGCACTGAGGCAGCTCCCCAGAAAAAAGCTCAGAGGTGCTGCTGGTGTACTGAGAACATGGAGGAAGCTCTCAGGCATGCACCTCTGTGATGCTGAAGCCGAGGTACCACCGAGCAAGTGATGTCTTCTGCCTGCCAGGACACTGCAGTCGTGTGGCTTGCCACAGTGAACATTTCAGAGACTGGGAGTCTTCAACTGGCATGCCCACTGCCTGCAGCAGCAATGCTGGAGGGGCCAATTGCTGAGCAATTGCTCTCTCCCACCACAGATTGCACTCTGCCTTCCCTCTGCCTACCTCTGTCTCCTCCATCACCTGGGGACTGGTTGCACACCCAGATCCACATGAGATGCTGGCTTGCTCAAGGATTTGGACCCATGAGCAGGAACATCATTACCCAATCTTTACCGAGTATCATCACCTGGCAAGTAAACCCTGTGAAGGGCTGTTGGCACCCAGAAAAGGGTGGAGGGGCTCCCTTGGACATCTATTGGAGCTCTCAGAGAAAAAAACAAAATCTCCTTTTACCTCCTCTCTTATCTCTGTCTGCCTCTGGCCATCCCCGCAGCTGATAGAGTGAGTGGCTGCTGCCCAGATGGGATGTGGCAGCTTTGGTCTGTTCCAGCACATGCTTCCAGGGCTCTGCAGCCTCCTGAGGACAGAAACTCCCCAGAGCCACAAAAGGGCCTCTGCCAGCCCGGCTGCAACCCAGACATGTCCAAGCCCCAAGGGACTCTGTGGAGGGAGGTCTGTGTCACCTTCAGGTGCTCCATCAAAGACCGTTCTCTGCCCCGGCGACACCTCTGTCACAGCCGATGAGATGCCACTACACAACCCAGCTGTGTTTTTCTGCTCGAAAATATCATCCCTGCCTCCCTGCTCCTCTCCCCCACCAGGTCCTCTGTTACTGTACTGAGATGTGGAGGAGAGGGATGGCTTTTAGGGCCTTAGAGGCTGTGCTCAGAGACCGCTCCCACCTGCAGCCCAGCTGCCACTGAAAGCGTGTGGTGTTCAACCCACTCCTGCAGTGTCACACCTTGGCCCAGAAAGCCTCTTGTTCTGGCTCGCAATCAGCAGGGGTCCGGCCAAAGCTGCCTCCAACAGGGCTTTGCAGAGAAAGCGGGGCATAGGGAAGCATGGGGAGCTGCAGCCTGTGCAGACAGAGGAGGCAGGGAGGCACGGGAGGAGCCAGGCACAGGTCCTGCAGCATCTCCCTACCTGCATTCACCCCTGTCAATATGCCATTTACTGTGAGGCTGGCCAAGGCGGAGATGGGTGTGAGGCATGAAGCGGATGCTCCCACCCAACACATCACAAAATGAAGGGACCAGCCCTTCGGGGCAGGAGCAGCACCAAGAGAAAATCCCTGTTATAAGAGCTCTTTCTGTTTCCCTAGGGCGAGCCTGGACCACCAGGACCCAAGGGCTACAGGGGAGATGACGGCCCTCGCGGCAATGAGGTCAGTGCTACTTCATCACCACAACTTCTGGGGGGAGGGAATGAAGGCAAGACCAGGAGATACTGCCCATTAGGGCTGTCCCCAGATCCCTCAGATCTTGGAAACCTGTTGTAAGTACAAATTCGGGTTCTGGCTTCCTGGCAGACACATCAAGGTATTTTTCACGGGTCTTTAAGGCCCTTGCTGCCTTTTTCTCCAGAGGCCATTTCATGGAGAGAGTATAGCCACACCAAAAGCCATGTGACTTCCCATCCCAGAAGCTGGAGGAGCTGCTCTCTGAGGGCAGTCATCTGATCCCCAGGGCAGGGAGTAAGCTGAAGTCCAAGCCCAGCTGTGGGCTTTGCGTTGCTCTTGTATAAGCAAAATGCATCCTGTGATGGTAGCTGGTTGCCTCAGAAGGCATCATCTTCCCAGCTCGAAGGATGGTATACAGTGCTTGACTGTTTCTTCTGTTCCTTCCAGGGCCCAAAGGGATTGCCTGGAGCACCTGGGCTGCCTGGAGACCCTGGCCTGATGGGAGAAAGGGTGAGTGGTATTTGGTTGGGGGCATTGCACGCCATGTGGAAAGGATATACAACATGCTTGTTCCACACAGCATGATGCAACTCAGGAGAAAAGAAATCACATTCATACACAGCTGAGATACTGGGAAAACGTGCAAGCAGCCTGGTTTTGAATATGCATCATGTCTCTAATGTTCTAAGAGCTGTATTTTGGGGTGTACTTTCCAGCGACAGAGACTTATACTTCCCAGTTTGTTCCCAGCCTGTGGTCATATCCCCAGTCTCTGAGAGGGACAGTGTCACTCTCCTCTTGGTGGTTGTGCAGGTCACACACAAGCAAGATGGTCTTTTTACCTGCCTGCACCAGTGTTCAACCACTAGTGACTTATTTTTGGCACAGACATACTACTGTGGAGATAAACTGTCCAAGGAGGTCAGGATCCTGCTGCTGTGCTATCTAAGGGGTCTGCTTTACATTATCTCACATATTTCTCCCTACCTTTCCAGGGGGAGGATGGCCCTCCTGGGAATGGTACGGTTGGATTCACAGGTGCCCCGGTAAGTATTTTGTGCTGCTTTGAAAGTACAAGACCATTATTTCTGCTTGTCTGACCTAACACACTTGCTTTCCTTCATCCCCAGGGGCAACCAGGAGACAGAGGTGACCCTGGAATTAATGTAAGTGTGCTGCTTCTTCATACTCCCAACAGAAATTGTCCTGGCTGGCGGTTTGGCTTCTAGAGCCTCTCCATCAGCTGCATGGTGAAATGAGCTCCCTGAAGCATCCTGCTCCTCCAAAGACCTCTTTTCCTTCTTCCCACCTCTCCCTGCAGTGGATGCTTCTGGTGGAAGTGTCTTGCCTTGGTGTACTGGTAGTAACACCCAAGGGCAGCAGCCTGGGTTGAGTGCTTTCCAATGCTAGAGCCAGAGTTTGCTGTTGGGAGTGCCACTCAGGGGGAGCTGGATGATGCAATAACAGTGAAAGCCACCTAAGAAGCTCTATCCTTCAATAGCACTGCAGTTTGGTGCTAGGGAGTCTATATGCTGCTCTTTACCCCCTCCTAGGCCAGTTTTCACAAGGTCACTGCATGCCAGCACCAACTTCACCACACTAACAACTGTCCAAGCAGTAGTCTCTTCTGTACTGTTTTTCAGGGAACGAAAGGCTATGTTGGTCCTAAAGGTGATGAAGGAGAAGCTGGTGACCCTGGCAATGATGTGAGTAATCTGTATAAAACTGAATATTCTTTCTCTGTGAACACAGTGCAGGAGCTTTGGGCTGTGTCTTTAACACTACCTTGATTGTGGGTCAGAGCTCATCAGACTTTACAAGTCTGCAAGCACCCTTTGTCAATGAGCAGTGTCTGATGGTAAGGGGAGCTCCCTCCAAATGTTCATTGTGTCCTACAGCTTATGACTGTCAAGCCTCCAGGTCTGTTAGGCTGAGATGGGTATAATCTCTGCAAGGTTCTGTATGTTTCCAGATAGCTGTGCTGCTGTGGAGGATTTTCCCAGTCCACCCCAATCTTGCCAAGACCTAACTCCTTTTGGTTGGGTACAGAAATTTCCGATAACATTTTTGTGGTTAAGCAGAGCTCAGCAGACATCTGGAGGGGAAGGTGCTGCACCCTGACACCAACAGATTTGTGGATTTTGGTTTTGTTTTCATTCCAGAACCTAACCCCCGGCCCCAGGGGCATCAAAGGAGCAAAGGGCCACAGGGGACTTGAAGGCCGCCCAGTAAGTAAGGATCCTGGCAGGGTTCGCACCGATAAGCGCAGCATGCCAGGCTGATGGAGCTCCCAACAGCAGGGCTCGCCGCAGACTTGCTGTGCTTGGCCCTGCTCACAGCAGGAACAAGGCAGTTTGCAAACCCACTGCTGCAGCCTGATATGTGGGTCTCTGAAATGATCATCCCAAATCAAGGCAGAAAATAGAGGCATTTGTGCTTTTTCATGAGCAAAACATTCTCGTATGATCAGATTCAGTAAGGGTAAACAGCCTTTTGGGGTGGCCATCCTGAACCTGAAAGTGTTTCAGTTCATGTTGAGCCGCCACTCGCTTGTGTTGCCCTACGTTGGCCTGGAGGATACAGGAGAGGCATCTTCTAAGCAAATGGCATCAATCTGTCCGTCCCCTGGGTGCTCTGGGGGAAATGCCAAGCCATGTCACACATGGTGCATGTGCTTGCTGCCTGCAGCAAGAGCTTGCCTTCCCAACTCAGTGGGCATGTCATGCATGGAAGTGGGTCTCCTTCCCCCAACCCCCGTGCAGCCCCAGGGCATCATGCAAACAAGTAGATGTACCTGATCAAAGACCAGTTCAGGGGCCAGCAACTGAGAAGCCAAGAGACTTTTCCAGACTCTGGATTGCTTAGCAAGGTATCGTCAGAGTATGCTGCAGATAGGACTGGCCGCTCTTGTAATTGCTCTCTCTACACTTCTGTTTGACAGGGACCACCAGGACCTGTGGGGCCTCCAGGACCAGATGTGAGTGGGACAGGATCAGGGCAGTGCTTGCTTACCTGTCTATGCTTTTCCTACCCCACATGATGGCTCCTGGGAGGGCATCATTGCTGGAGAATTCTCATCCTCCTGGGTTGGGTGGTGGCTGCCCCCCCATTACTGTCCCAGCGAGTCTCACTGGCCAGATTTCCTTCATGCCAGTCCATTGCCAGGCAGTCCCCTCTGTAGTGCACTCCACTTGCACATCACTCATTTTCAGATCAGGATCTGCTCTGGGGGTACAAAGCAGCAGCGGGGTTGTGGGCAGCACCTGGGAGCCAGGAAGCTGCCCTCACCATTACTCAAACGTTTCTTTACTTCTGTTTTCAGGAATGTGAAATCTTGGACATCATCATGAAGATGTGCTGTGAGTATCCCTGTACTGCTCCTCCTGCCCTGCTCAGGTCCTTGCTGAGTGGGAGACAGCTGCTTTTTCTCTGGCCCTCAGTAAGCAGAGCCATCCCCAGGCAGCACAGAGAGGGATGCCGTGGGCATCACTCCCCTTCCACAAGTCACAATTAAGTCAACAAGCTTGGGGAGAGGTGGAAGGCTCTCCCTGCAGCCAGGACACCAACCTAAAAGGGGCAAATCTTTTGTGTGTTGTTGTCGTCCCTTCTCTTGACCCAGGGACTTCCAGCTCGATCTCTAGAGTAGATCATGCAGCTGTGTTTCACTTGTGCATGCTGCAGACTGGTTTGCTATGTCTATGGCTCTGTAGATACACAATTACCCCTCAGTGAAAATACAAGCGAAGTTGAAGTTGTGTACAGTCCTTGGGTGGACCATTTTACAATTTTTTTTTCTTAAACAGCAGTGCCTGGCTTTACCCCTTGGGAAAGGCAGGTCTGTTCTGGGGTGTTCTGCCATGGGGAGCAGCAGTACACATGTGTTGCAAAGGGTTTCTGGCAAGTAATGAAGCAGTGGAAGGACACAGGGTACTTAAGGAACTGAGTTTGAGCTCCATACTCTGATGATTTACTTAATCCCTTCAGGATTAGCTTTTATTTTTATTTAAATAAGAATGCATCAGCACATACAGAAACAGGGCTCTGTTGCATGCAGTGCTCCAGGTTGTGGTGTAACAATCTGAAAGAGGAGAGAGATGTGATTATTTCAAAGAGGAGGGAAACCTCTGAGCTTGAATTGTCCAGTCCAGGTGTCCTTGGGTTTGCAAAAACACAAATCTGCAGCCTACATTAGTGTGTGAAAAAACCTTCTGTCAAGCATTTTAACATTGTCTCTTTCTCTCCCTTGTCCTCTAGCTTGCTGCGGTGAGTGTTGCTTGGCAAAGTTGCTCTACAAACATTTCCTAGCCTTTCTCCCTGCTTGCACGCCTCCCTTTCCCTGCTCCTTGCCTTCTGCTATGGAGATGTGGTGAGAGCCTGGGAGGGAGGACCGAGCATTAGCAAGGCAGGGGAAGGCAGAAAGCTCTTCCCAAGGGTGCATGGATTCAGAGGCTGGGTCCTACAATTGGAAAATTGTTGTCAAGGTGCCCTGTGCCAGCAAACTGCAGGCGGATTTTCTCCACCCTTTTTTCAGTTGAAAGGGACTCACTTCAGGGCATGCTGTGGATCCAGCTCTGTCCTCCTTCCAAATCCTGTGCTAGTCTGCAGAGAAATGTGCTGGGCTTTCTTCTCTGATGCTGTCCCAATGAGTTGGGTTTGTAGTCCAAAAGCTTAAATGAAGAGCCAAGGGCACATGATGTCCTTCAGTCATGGGGAAGAGGGGAGAAAGCTGAGTGAACCTCCTCCACCTCACCAGTATCACCTCTGTCCTCCTGGGCTGGGTGAGTGGAAGAAGTGTGAAGGCTTACAAAGAATCAGGTTCTGGAATAATTACTGGGTGTTTTAAGGGTACTCACAGCTTGGAAACATTATAAGGGATGCTGAGCAAAGTGCAAATGGAGAAATCAGTAAACTGACTCTTAAGTCTCCTGTGCATCTATTTTACTGTTTTACTTTACACCATGCTTTGCAGGTAGATAGGGCACAAGCACCCACCCAGTCAGGACTAAGAGCAGACATCAGCTGCTTGCTTTGGTATGCCTCTCTGCAAAATGCGCTGCTCTGAGCAAGATGCTCAGGTAGAAAACACAAGGCCCTTCACTCCTGTGCCTTGCTGCAGAGTGCACCTGTGGTCCCGTCGACCTCCTCTTCGTGTTGGACAGCTCGGAGAGCATTGGCCTGCAGAACTTCCAGATTGCCAAGGACTTCATCATCAAAGTCATTGACCGCCTGAGCAAGGACGAGCGTGTGAAGGTGAGATTTCCACCTAGTGCTGAGATACACTTGTGTACACTCATTTTTAACTGCAAGCAGAAAAACAGGCAGATGCGTCCACACCAAAGAGCCTCCATGAGGCTTAGCTTCAAGTGTGTAACTGGGGTGGATCTTGATTCCTTCCAGATTCATACAGCGGTGGAGATGACACAGCAGTTTGTTGTCCAAATATATAGACATTTTACTCTTTCTGCACAAAGGGACTCTGCCTGCCGTGGCTGTGAATTCTTCTTGCATACCCCAGAGCAGATGGCTCATAAAGCATTAGCCTGATCAATCAGCCTCTCAGTCTCTTCCTTTTCCTGATGAGCACTTCAGGTGGCTGGAGTACATAACACCATGAGGTGTGTTGTAACTTACTTGAGCTCCCTGATGATCAGCCCCCCAGGTGACCTTGTCTGCACACAAGCTTGGGTTTAGGTTACCAGTTAGGCACACTACCAAAAAGGACCTTTGCAGCCCAAAACAGCAATATTGTCCCAGTAGCGAGTGTTCCAGTCTCGCACACAAATGGTTACTCTCCCAACTCTTCCCTGGTAACCAGCTGTGCACAGGAAATTTCGTTTACCTCTGTGATTTGGAAGGAATGTTTGGGATCCGGTCTTTCCTTAAGGTATAACCAGAGACATCTGTAGCCCACGGGCTATAAAGCCACAGTGACCTGCTGTTGGACACTTGTGTGGGCATACACGTCTCTCTTTGGCTGGCAAAGAGATGGTAACAAGCAGAAAGCCTAGAGCTGGGCAGCAAAACTACTGTGTTGGGAAAAACCAGACATTTTGACAAAAGATCTATTCCTAGACACCCACCATGGCCAAAGGCTTGTGTTGAGACTACTGAGCCAGGTTTGGGTCTTGTTTCACTTTCTGGCTCACTGAATTTGTCCTTATGTGCATCCACTCCTGTTGGGGCTTCTTCTGCCTGGAATAAGACAGAGGAGAGGTGGCAGATCCTGCTATGAAGGCATTCAGTACAAACCACCAGAGGATTTCTGAGCTCTGAAGGGCCCCTGATGTATCTGACCCTAACTTGCTTCTGTTTTTTCCAATAGTTTGAAGCTGGGGAGTCCCGTGTGGGTGTTGTGCAGTACAGCCATGACAACACGCAGGAGCTGGTGGCGATGGGTGATGCCAACATAGACAACATCGGGGCACTCAAACAGTGAGTCTGTAGGGTCTCAGCCCATCATGCAGAGACCTGATACAGGGACACCTACTCACCTCCCATCCTCCATCTCCAGATCAGCAGCTCCTGCAACTGCAAGGACGCTAAATGTTCTTTGGCAGAAAGTAGAGGCTGGCAGCATTGTAAGTGGTGCTGAGGCCAAGGACCTTGCCAGTTTTCCACCCAAAGCCCCATGCAGGGATGTCATCCTGTTTCGCAATCGTGTCAGAGATACGTGTTACCAGGGGCTCCTTCTGTATCCACAGGGCAGGGCTTGAAGGCTAACCAGCATCTGTGCTTGCAGGGCAGTCAAGAACCTGAAATGGATAGCTGGTGGCACCTACACTGGAGAAGCCCTGCAGTTCACCAAGGAAAACCTGCTGCGGAGATTCACCTCTGACAAGCGCGTTGCCATTGTCATCACGGATGGACGCTCGGACACGCTGCGGGACCCTACCCCTCTTAACTCTCTGTGTGATGTCACCCCGGTAAGGGCACAGGGGAAGCACCCTGCCTGCAGGGAACTGCCACACAGCACCTGTGCATCAGAGCAGTGCAGGCTCTCTGGGAGTCTCCATGTCTTTGCTACCCAAGGCTAGGGCAAGGGGGGGACACATCACTGTCATAAACTGACAAGCTTATGTATGCATCAGATGAGGAATCATCTGGTGATGGACTCTAAACTTCACTGCAGGTGGTTTCCCTTGGGATAGGCGATATTTTCCGGAACCCCCCAAATCCAGATCACCTGAATGACATTGCTTGTTTAAGCAGACCGACCAGGCCAGGACTGTCCATTCAAAGGGACAACTACGCCGAGCTCCTGGATGACACCTTCTTGCAGAACATCACCTCATATGTCTGCCAAGGTGGGTGAAAGATTGTGGCTGGAGGCAATAAGGAAGGTAGTGAGGATTGCCTCAGCCAAAGGGTGAGGGATGCAGGCTGCCCTCCCTTGCCTTTCCCCAGACATGCTATTAAGCAGGTGTTGAGTTAGGAGACCAGCATTCAAGTTTTAGTTAAATAAGGGACAAGCTCATGTATCAGAACACTTTGCAGCCAGGTCCAGGTCCTCTCCTGCTGCAGGACACCTCCATCCACAGCATTTTTCAAGCGCGCACCTCTGCGCTTTCTGGTGCATGTTCATAACCTTTGCACAGTGCCTTGTGTAATGCGCCTGTGACTGAGGTGAGCATTTGTTCCTTCTGTGGCTCAGTGGGAAGCTATAGCAGAAGTGGTTTTCCTGGGTGAGCTGGTGACATTACTCTTTCTAATTTTCTTAACAGAGAAGAAATGTCCGGACTACACCTGCCCAAGTGAGTACTGACTCCTCATGGCACCCGAGGGGGTTGTGGGTTGTGTGGTGGAAGAAGCGGGACTTTGTATTTATGGGAATGCATAGCTTGGAGACCTCTTGCAACAGGGAGACCCCTGGGCTGGAGAAGGAAGCAACTAATGTTAGAAGTTCACAGAGCTTCTCACACACATGCCAGCCCAAAGCACCTGGGGGAAAAGCCTAGAGAGTTGCTTTTCTGGAACGACAAACCTAGAGAGAATGCTATGCCAGATTTTAGCCCTCACAGGCTTTAGCTGAGGCAGGTAATGAGATCAATTGCGAGGTGGTGGTGGGAGCACAAGGAAAAATCAGTAGGGATATTTGAGAAAGGTGCCTGAAAAGTGAGTTCAGGGAGGAATTTAGTGGGGTACACCTCCAAGTCAGAGGTGTATACAATGTGCAGACTTATGATGGAAAGAAACCAGCCTTGGGAGATGAAGTGGTTCCCCAGACATTCAAGGACAGCACTGTATTTAAACAACAAGAGTCACTAGATTATCTAAACCAGATAAGTACCTGGGAATGCAGCCTGCTGTAAACCAAATAAAAGAAGGAATGAAAAGGTAAAAGGACAAGTGTAGGACAGCACTGGTGTAGGGGAAACCAAGCTAGCAAATACCCAGATTGTGGGGATTTCCCAAGTCTGAAAAGGCAGGAAGCCTGCAAGACAGCTGGTGACTTCACTGGCTTTCCATGGAGGAGGCAGGAGTTGAAATGCAACATAACAAGCCCTGGCCTTTCCCCTTGCAGTCACCTTCAATGGGTTGGCTGACATCACGCTGCTGGTGGACAGCTCCACCAGTGTGGGGAGCAAGAACTTTGAGACCACCAAGAAGTTTGTGAAGCGGCTGGCGGAGCGGTTCCTGGAGGCTGGCAAGCCTGCCGATGACTCTGTGCGCATCTCAGTGGTTCAGTACAGTGGCAAAAACCAGCAGAAGGTGGAAGCTCAGTTCCAGTACAACTACACAGTCATTGCCAAAGCCATTGACAACATGGAGTTCATTAACGACGCCACGGATGTCAACGCTGCCCTGCGGTACGTCACGGGGCTGTACCAGCGGTCCTCCCGTGCTGGGGCAAAGAAGAGGGTTCTGGTGTTTTCTGATGGCAACTCTCAAGGGATCACCGCGAGGGCCATTGAGAGGGCGGTGCAGGAAGTTCAGCAGGCTGGCATCGAGATCTACGTGCTGGCAGTGGGCAGCCAAGCCAACGAGCCCAACATCCGTGTCCTGGTCACAGGGAAGAGTGCAGATTATGATGTGGTCTACGGGGAGCGCCACCTCTTCCGTGTGCCTGACTATACCTCTCTGCTGCGTGGCGTCTTCTACCAAACTGTCTCCAGGAAGATAGCTGTTGACTGAGTGTATGGGTGGGTTTCTGCCAAGGCCATGCCTGCTTCTGTCTTGCCTAAAAATGAAAATCAACAAAACAAAACAAAAAAATAACGGTATTCTTGACCTACCTGAGGAATTTGCGTCTATGCAGATAGCCATAGTGTCACAGCCTGGCTGTGCATAGTCCCCTTCCTTCTCCCCCAGCTTCATCATTTGCATTGCTACTCTGTTAGTCTCGAACTTCCCTCCCTGCCCATGACTGCGTCTTCCTCCCCACAGCAGGCAAACACAAACACACCTAATAATAAGCTGACAGAACACCAATAGCAACCTCATCCCACAGGTTTTTTTGCCAAGAAAGAATTAGGATGAGGAATTTTGTACCACTAAGGACTACCCTGGTTCTCATAAGGCTGATTATGCTCTTTTCAGATACCGGTGGGTTTGTTCATTTGCTTCTTTCTTTCATACATCAGCTGAGCACTTGCCCAACTCACAATGGTCCTAACACAATGCTGTGCTTCAAGTGAAAACACTTCAGCAAAGCTTTGAGAGGGGATTGTTGTAATGGCTGGCAAGTTTGGTTTGTATCTCCTATGCCTGGGGGGCGGCGCAGGGAGGGCTGGACTGCATTACCCAAGTTGGGTGGAAGCATCTCTGTCCTCCAGTGCCATGGGATGGGGCACCGACTTCCCAGGGATGGTGTGGAAGTGGGTGATAGAGCATCCCTCAGTGATTCAGGGCAGGGAGTCTGAGCACTGACCAAATGAAAGACAAGACAGTAGCCATAGGGGAGGGGGGAAACCATTGAAGAAGCTACGTAACTGCACTCCTTCACTAACAGATCTCATGGTCCTACAGTGAAACCAGGAACCTCATGAATAACCTGATGACTTGTGTTATAGTCCAAGCTCCATTCTGGAAAAATCTCTCTGAGCCCAGTTAGTGGGATTTTTTAAAATATTTTTTTCAAAAGTGCCAAGCTGTCTAATTCCCAGTAAGCTCTCTGGGAGTATTGTTTGTATAGGACCACCTAGGAGTTAGGCACCTGGGCCCTAGGGAAACCCACTAACTGTACTATATATATTGATTTAGGGCCTCATCCACAGCCCAGCGAAGTCAAGGGAAAGGCTGCCATTATCTATCAGGGTTTTTGACTCACACCCTACGGATATACTGACAAAGGTGCTATCACTACGTGGGTGATATGGGCCCTTGGTGTTTACACAGTTGTTTCCAGGACCACACTGAAAATGTGGTTTGGCTGGGTGAGATTTTGTTTCAGCGCTTCCATTGGTGCTCTTGCTATGAATTCATGCGCTTCTGAGAAAGCAATAGTGATTGCCAGGTATCGGCATTCCAAACTCTTTACTTTGTATCCAAAACCCCACTGTATGAGTTAGTTTTATTTTATGCCTGTGTTTTACTGAAATTGTCCACTTTGGAAATTTGTCAAATAAACTGTTTTCCACAATCTCGTTGGAAGTTTATCTGACTTGAATTTCAAGGTCTCCAAATGTTCAAATAATCACTCAGTAAGATAGAGGTTGCTGGGATCTGGGAAGACTGTAGCAGAACTTCTCATATAAAACTGTAAGTAATAGAAGACGAGATCTATTGCATTTGTATCACAAATCTGGCTATTATTGAATGCCATGGATTTGGGAAACGCTGTGAATTCTCTTAATCTATTAAATGGTGCGTAAAAAAATTTATGAGAAGAGCACCAGGCTCTCAAAGGGTGGGAAATGCTTACGCAGCTTCTGTTTGCCTTCTGGTTTGAAAAAAACCCCAAATAACTACACAGGTAGGTACTGTTGTTTCCAGAAGACCAAGTACAGAGGGATGGTGATCATCAGGTGAAGAGGTAGCTGCTTTAGCTTTTTGCTTATGTTCAGCATCTCTCCATAGTACCTCATTTCCTGGGCACATGGGGATGCAGCTCTTCAGACAAGGCTAGTGGTGGAAATATCAAACATCTCATCCAGCCTTGTCAGGCTCAGTGCTCCTCAAGCGTTGTTTTACATCCTAAGACAGCTCTAAAGGATGCTTATCTCTGGGAAAGATCCCAGGTCATACCTGTACATCCCAGGGGCTTGCTGCAACCTTTCACTGTGTGTGGATGCATGCACACTCACTTGCTCCCCAGACAGAAGACCACATTCATGTCCTGTTTCTGTAACAGAGAGGCTTCTGCCTTGTCTCATGTCCTCTTAGTCATGCTCTCTCCTGGCCAAGCACCTCAATTGAGATGGTTGTTGGGATCTCTGGCTGTCCCACAGCACTGGAGACACCTCACAGCTGGAAAGTCTGAGGAACACCTCTGGGGAGGCTCTGTGGGTGGCTGCACTTTGTGTCAGTTGTCCTGCTTTCCTCTCCACGGAACGATAGGAAAAAATGCCTTCACGTCTGCCCTAATAAAGGCAGTTATTGTTACAGCTAAAGAAATATTTCTTAATGGCCTATGCAATCCTCAGCGTGAATCATCCACAAAGGAAGGGAACATGATACACACAAGCCCCTGGGTCACACACCTACTGCTGGGACTGCCCGGCTGGCAAGATGCCCTGCTGCCACCAAGGAGGGGTGGGAGAAGGCAGCTGCCCCTCCATGCACCATCCCAGGGGTATGCCCCTCTCAGATCCAAGCAGGGCCATGTCAATTGCAGGGATAGAAAGGACACCCGGGGAAACCTACCTCTGCCTTTGGGCTGCTTTATGCTAAAAAAGCAGGTGGCAGGATGGATTTTTCCTGCTTCTGTGCATTTCCCCCAACCATGGCCTTGTTTTTTCCCTTTACTGAAAGGGGAAGAAAATCCCAAAGTAGCAAAAATTGTCAGATTCTAAACCACAGTTCTGGAGTGTTCGGCAGTTTTCCCCATGAGAAAAATCTAAACATTCCCTTTAAATTCCAGTTTGTCCCAAAGAAACATAGTTTTAAACAGAGCCTAATGGCAAGCTGGCTTCCCCAGCAGACAGAGGCCAGCATGGATTTTTCAGCAGTGCCCAACACCTTGTGTTTAGGTGTGTTGCCATGTCTCCCCCCACACTTGTGCACTGTCCAGGCAGGATTGCAGGAGCCCTTGTTGGGTGGTTGGGCCAAAGTCGGCCCCGATATGCTGGACCCATTTTGTCTTCCATTTCTAGTTATATTTTCTCCTCTCTTTTCAGTCTCAATTTCTATGCTTCCATTACAGGAAAGGTCAAAAATGCCTCTGCCTGCAGGCTCGCTTTGTTAAACTTCAGATGTTCTCCAGATGTTCAGCAAAGGGGTTTATGTAACAACATCAGAATTTGGGCCACATTTCTCTCTTTTCCTCTGACTAAATTCTCCTCATTTAGGCAATGCTGATTCACAGCCCTTCATGGGAATGTGATGGCTGGTGAAGGAAGGGATCACTGAGGCCACTTTACTAATGTTGCAGGACTCCTACAACACGTCCCCAACAAGCAATGCAAAAACCCAACAACGCAACAGGCTGGGATAGGCCTGTGGGATTGCAATCTTAAAGGACAGAGCAAAAAGTGATGTAAGAGAGGTAAACTGGTAAGTAAGAGATAAATATCCTACCCAGTTAGCTATTGTAAATGAGAACATAAGACTGCTTGCACTTGGGAAACCCTAAGAGGCTCAGTTAAACCCATCCACTGGCACTGCTCATCTGACCTGACCTACTCAGCTTCGCAGCTGCAGCTGTGGAGCAGTTCTGCAGATTAGTTACCTCCCCAGTGAATGTTTCTCCATGGACATCAAGTACAGCACAAGGCCGTGCCTGGCACCACATAGTGTACCTTCACAGCCCCGAGCTCTAATTAATTTCCCCGGGCCCTGGCCAGTGCTTGCTCTTGCTGCCAAAGGGAAGGCACACTAGCATTGGGAATGCTACCTCTACACCCTTGGGCAGATCCATCCCCCAGAGCCATAGCTCTGGACAACACGGGACTCCTGGAGACCACAGGGCTGTCAGGGTAACTCTTCCCTTAGCCTGCAGCCCTGTAGCCTAGCCAAATTACTGTTGACGATGCTAGCGCTAGACCTCAAGCTGTGTAACAATAAATAGCTGCTCCAGGATGATTTTGAATTGTGTTTTCAGAATTGTTTGAGAACCTTTCATGTGCCTATGATTTTCCCGAGGAGCAGAGGTCCATTGTCTAGCCTCTCCTAGCTGTAACAACAGAATAACTGAATGTTAAAATGCCTTTTGCTATCCTGGGGTTTGAGGTTTGTTTTAACTCTATTGCAACCAAATGTGTTTTAGTTTAAGCTTGCATTATTTTGTCCAATTACATGGATCTCCTCCTTAAAAGAAATCATACTGTATATGGAGAAAGAATCATGGTACACAAGCTTGTGGACTATCAGCAGAAGACTGTAACCCATTAAGAAATACAGGGTTGACAGACAGATGTAATTCTGGGCAAACTCAAGACCATGGAGGAAGACCATCCCCTCCCACCCAAAACATACTGTCATCATCATACTTCATCAGGTAAAGGATTTGAGAAGCTGATGGCCTCCCATAATGTTACATAGGATGGGGGAGCATCACCAAAGCATGGTGCAGCTCTGGGACATATGTATATAACAATTTTAGGTTTTGTTAATTCCTATCAATAATTATCACTTAGATTATAGGTACCTATATAATAACTGGACTAAGTTGTTGTACTCTGGCTAGGCCAAGATGTTAATTAGACAACGAGTTTTTAAATCTACAATTAACGGTGTCTTTTTTGGCTGCCCATAACTAAGCCCACACACAACAAGCATGCTCTGCCAGGGTCTTTCCCTCAAAAATTTCTCCTTACTGTCTGTCAGAAGATCAGGCTGGGTCCACAGTCTCTACTTCCCATGACTGTCTGCAGAAATTATGTGTTGCATCAGCTCAGCTCCTATGGCAGCAGAGAGCTCTGGAGGATGGATGTCAGGAGGGAAGCTGCAGCCAGGTAGCCTCACCAAGAAGTCGAGAGGACTGAGCAATCGATGCTATTTAATTTCTATTTTTGGTTTTTTTTTTGTTTTTTTTTTCTTGTTTCATTTAAATAGTTTCTCATACACATGGTGAGCCCTGTCAGACATGGAAACTACTGAGGTGCTCACAGGAGCACCCTGAGACAATGATACGGCCTTTCCAGTGAGGACTGGGAATGTGTGGAGTGACTTATCCCCATGAAATATCACCACAGCCCTTCCACCTTCCCACCATCTCAGCAGAGCAGTGCTTCCATTCCCATCCATTGCTGCAGACACCCACATGAACACTTCTCAGCTTTGTCATTCCTGTGAAAATATTAGAGTTTAATGTCCAAGCCACTGAAACAAAGAAAAATGCAGCTGGGGTATCTCTTCTTGATGTTATTATATTAAAAGGGAAAATTAAATAGCAGAAGCTGGAGGCAATGCAGATGCATCCTACCCCTTACCTCATGCTTCTGGAGAAAATTATTCTTTTTTCTTCACTTTTGATTATGGCACTTTCTTCTGGGTGATTCCAAAGGCCTTGGGAGATAAACTGCTTCTTGAAATGAATTTTCTAGTGGGGAAAAAAATCATGCAAGAAATTTTGGGGGCCATCTGTTTTTACAGTGTCATCTGATTTGACTGCACAAAGCATATGCTGTAGCAGTCCTGGTATAGCCACGGACTTAGCCTCTGTCTAAATTTTTTTTTTCTTCACAATCTGTTGGCCAAATAGAAGTTGCTGCCTTAACCAACTTAGGTTTCTTTAGTCACTGAAGCACCAAAACATAATGCATAAAGAGGTCATTAAGCCTGTTTTCTACCTTAAAGGTATGTTTTACCCCACAGGCTACATATTTGTTAACCTGTCAGATGGGTGTTTGTCAAATCTTAAAGAGCTCTAAACATGGGGGCTTTACCACATCAGTAGACAGTGTTTTAGGGCAAATCTCTGCTGCTATTTACAGTGCTGCAAATAATGCAGTCAGTGTTACTCTTGTTGACATTAAGCCTGTTACTTCTTGTCATCTGCACTGTGGACACAGAGATCATTTCCTCCTTCTCTTACAGAGTCATTTATCAGCTGAGGTGTCTTATTCGTGTTTTCTTTTTTCTCTCATGACCTGAACACACAGTCCTTGTTCATGGTGCCAGAAGCCTGTGGGAGCACTCAAAGGTAAAGCTACGGCAAAAAGTCTCGCAGCAAGTATGTTCATCCCATGAGCAATCTGGAAAACCTTCTCCAAATTGGTAAAGGGTCTGACAGTAGTGAGGATCCCCTTATTCCTTGGTCGTGGTTCTTTTTGGAGTTGTTTTCATGTTATCAGATAGTCTTCACGGATAACCTTTCTTTTCTAGTTGGCCCACAGGGTAGTTATGGGTTATTTCATTTTGAGACCTCTACCTATCATAAAGATAATGTAGGGACAGGACAAAGCCTTTCTGAGCCCCCATGGAGAAGATTAAGAACCCAAACTACACTTCTGACAGGAGAACCTCGAGACATTTGTTTTG